CACAAGCCTGGTAGTCATACCTGGAACTCAATTCAGACTAATCTGATGCTGCCGTTAAACCTGAGGGTGTTATCTTATTATTATTATCGATCAAATTTTTGCTTTGTTTTGTTTTAACAGAAAACAAAGCTTTTGCTATCGTACAAAATCGTCGCGCAAATTGAAACCATTTCAAGCAAAGCCCAAGCTTTTGCATTATTTTACAGAACTATTTCAAAAATCAAACGGAGCCCCAAATGTGTCCGATGTGTTCCACGTACATGACAGCCTCGTCGTTTACGAAGATAGACCAAACTGGTCGACCTAGGCCCACTGTACGTATCTTGAACGTACCTTTGGTGTTGAGGCACGATACGACGAACGAGACGACGAATAACCGCAAAGGTACAAAGCTTTTCGGTTATCCGCACCTGATACGACTCCCGTCAAGAGTAAATGCACGGGATTTATATGATATCATCAAGAAGAATGTGCCACATGAAGGACACTACACGATTCATTTCGTCGATGGCCAGGTGAGATATTCTTATTAGATTTAAGCTGTGGTCTACTTGATGCTACAAATGTTTTAAAGCGTTCTTCTCCTTTCTTTATTAAAATGTAGATGATTTATTTGTCGCAATAACCGAAACAGTTAAATTTTATAAAATGTAAAAAATATATCTTGTCAAAGAAATAATTACACATTTTTAAATACAAAATAATATAGCTGTTGATACATTCAAATAGTTTAACATGAGTCTGAATTATTAAATATATATTGCCATATTAATTTACAAAAAAAATTGTTTTGCAGGGTCACCATTGTTCACGATGTATGTATACGGCGCATTGTACAGGATGTAGTGTGCCTGAGACGGGAATGGTAGCGCTACAGAACGGTGATACGCTTGCGGTTCGTTATACCGAATATGTTCCTAAGATTCTGCATCCTGTCGATCATGTTAGCGTCAGCAAGCAACGGCCGCACCATCCACTGTCTCTTTATGATTGCCTTCAAGCATTTAGTCAAAGGTATTGATCTTTATGAGTTGCTTATTAATTAAGGCATTCTGGAGTAAAATAAATATGCCAATTGCTTTACACTATGTTAATTTAATTGCTGATAGATATATTACTGGTGTTTTATATAATTTTAATACTTTTTTTTAGCGAAACTTTAGACGAACATAATCCTTGGTTTTGTCCGAAATGTGGATGTAATCAATGTGCCACGAAAACGTTGACGGTACATCGATATCCTAAGTTCCTCATCGTATATCTTAAACGGTATGTAAAATTTATATCAAAATAAAAATGCTCTACGTAAGCTCTACAGATCGATGGATATTACAAATGTTCTATTATCATGGATGACTCACGCATTATTTCGGATCTATAGATTTGTGTTTTACGAATGCGCGAGTATGAAGCTAGACGACAAGGTCACATTCCCTTTGGTGGGTCTGAGTGTAGGACGCCACCTTTATGATCTCTATGCCTGCGTATGCCACTTTGGAGGTACGTAAGCTTATCAAAACTTGTAAAAGTGATAAATCTCTTTTTGTTGCATCATTTCAGAAAGCATTTTATTATAAGAATGTTGGAAACTGAGTATTGACATACATCTTTAAATAGATATGAATAGAGATTATTGTAGTTATTCATATGGGAGTAGCAATACGGCGAAAAAAGTTTAAATATTTTTTAAATAACTAGTATACTTTTATCTTTAAAAAAATCTTTTCGATATCTTCGATCGTCTAAAATTAAATATTATTCGTCCAAAAATAATTGAAACGTTTAGGTAAATAAAATTGAATGCTTTATTACATGTCAAATGAATTTCAGGCGTGTCCGCGGGCCATTATACGGCGTATGCGAAGAATCCTCGCACAGACGTGTGGTATTATTATAATGATGAGATTACGAGTAGGCAGAAGCCACAAGATGAGGATTTTAGCAATGCATACATATTGTTTTATAGTCGACAAGGGACCAACTTGAAACCGTGCAATATATAACAAGTGGTGTATTTACCTTGGTAGCCGATAGACCAAGTCGAGCAGTCAAAGAAGGAACAAAGAAAGAACAGAGCTGGTGGTAAAAGAATGGAGTGTGACAAAAGGGGGATTGATATTTGCGTTCTTCCATGTGTACACATCGCGAAGGTTTATTCGCATACTTTATACGTTTGCAACTTTTCCTTTATCCATTTTGTTGCGCTTCTGTCTTCTCTCCCCCTGCGCATCCATCTCCCTTTCTGCTGTCTCTGCTAGGGTTATTTTATCTTTTAAAAGTGCAATGGAAGGCGTACTTCCATACACGCGCCGATTTGCGCTCGATTATGTGAAATATCGATAACTGTCGCCGTGTGCGTTTCTTTCGTGACTTGTTATTCGATGATTTTTCGGATGTCCTCGCAATCAGTACTTTGCCGGTGGCGTTTTACGTTAGCGCAACTTAGGCCTGACCTATTTCGCGAATACTGAGAGAACTGAGCATATTTGTACTGCATATATTGTAAACGTATGTCGAATTTGTACAGTAGACCGTTAAATGTAGAACTCGAGAATTCTAAACACGTAATTTATTAGTGAATAAAGGTGGACGTGTCATACTTGAAATCAAACTTGAATCACCACTCACCAAAGGCGGAATGTCACGCTTCGCCATGCTTTCTTCTTTATCTGAGCAGAGGAGCGGGAGGATATACGCTTATCAATAACAAAATGTTGCGCTTATCCGATATTCCTTCGTTATCCAAGTGAGAGATCAAGAGGATTGTAAAGCGAAACAGAATATACACATTTTATGAAACGCAATCACGTTCATGGGTTATTTATTAAATTAGTTATATATGTATATTGCAATTTTATTACAAGACACTAATCGCAGTTCAACACACGCTCGCATTAGCACAGCATCGGTGTAATACTGATATTTCACGTTACATTTTTCGAATTGCTATAAAGTATAAATTGTTATAACACGCTACATTGTAACTTGATGACGCGTATGCGCACCTAGACTCGGTTCCTAAACATTTCTGTTTGTCAAATGTTGTAAAACCGACTCGAAGTTTCTCGATACTTTATGTAGTATAAATATAAAAGAATGCTATCGCCATCGAGCGATTTTCTCCGAATCGTACAGTTCTGGCCTTTTTAATCTCTTGTAGCAAATTCGTTTGGATGCACTAAGCGCATACGTAAGCGTCACGAAATTTTGCCAAAATACATATGAAATATTCAGAAATGATAAAAATATAAGTTTTTATTTAGTATTCTGCCAATTTTCCTAATATACTTTTATTCATAAATTTTAGGACACTGTGTATTGGTACTTCGACATTACGACAGTGATAACGAAAACTGTAGCGACTAATATTCTGTAATTCGACAATTGATAATACAGAGTAATTCAAGAGTCGGCAGAGGAATCCAATTTCTTCCAAATCGGTAATGTAGAGCATATCAATAATTAACTTCTAATAGAGCTAAGAAAAAATGTTGCTACTGCTGCAACTAAAGCTACGAAACAAGCAATTTGTTGTCAAGTTTTTCTTTTGAAACTTTGATTCATAAATGATATGAGAATGTCTTCGAATCCTTCGATCATAAAAATTTATACACTTTCACGGCATATTATGCGCAGTAATACATTCAACTGAATTCGATATTTTCTTGTAGGGTAGGTGTATCAGCGAATGATCTTGTAGCACTAAATAACCACATCATATTTCGTTATTTTTGTTATATATAAAGTTATATATAAAGTCTAGATATTTTTTTTTAACTGAGAACGTGAGATAATATGAATCATTGTGTACAGTTATATAATAATTATTATACAGTTATGGATTAAAGCAGTTATTTACTCTAGTTTATACCTCTTCTCGTTATTAATCTCAAATAGTCATTTTTTAAATGCTATGTTGTTAATACTCGAAATTCTAAACTTGAAACTGTTTTATACGATACCTAAGAGGAACTAAGAACAACGAAACAATTTGTACTTGTAGGAAAAAAGTACACCTTTAAATTATTTATAATAGAATATTTCTTCTCTCTTAAACGGCCATCCTCACTGGTGCATCTGCCCCACTCAACATACGCACTTGATGCTAGCTTTGTTTACACTTCAATCTTCATATTACATAACATTATGTATAGCTTAATATTACTCTGTTCTTCTATTATGGCCGTTTCTTCGTCGTTTATGTTTTTCATCGTTATTCTCATGCACTCGATGTTACAACTCTTTTCATCTTCTCTAGATAAACATTCTCAACATGGATGTATCGTGTCCAGATGTATTAAAAATTGAAATTGGTACAATTTAAATTTTCATTTTTTCAATTACTATAACTACTTTACATCAATTGTCGTTTTTTAATCATCGCATGGTGATAATTTTCAAGTGTCTGTGACATTTAAATCTGATTTGATCTGAAATACATTAGTTTAAATTCTTTGCATTATGACTGCCTGCCGACCAAAGATATAACAATGATATAATTTGTTAACAATATTTGACAGTTTGGCAGTTGACATTTGATATGTATCGGTAACAATTTACATTTAATTTATATTATGACAATTCCAAAAGTGCGATACTGTTGTCCGAATACTGAAATTCTTTTCAATAATATGAAAGTTTTATTAAATGGTTTCACATTATTTTGACAATATGTATATAATAATACTTTAAAAGATATTAATAAAACTGTCTACGTAACAATTATAAACTTCTGTTCTTCGAAATTAGAGATTGGTTCAAAGAGACTAACTTATTTTATATCGTCTTCCATAATTTTATATTTTATCATTTATTTTAATTAATATTTTACTAATACACAATTAAATAATTTCATCTGATTGATATATAGATTATATAATTAATATAGATTTAAATACAATTTAGTAATTAATTTGACATATTACAGTTATCTACCATTGACACTATATCTTTGCCATTACTTCGGACATTTCTTTGAGATAGCATTGCTGGTTTTTTTCCAGTTATGGTGCAGTCATAATGCAAAAATATTTAAACGTGAGGCATTTATTTTAAAAACTATCTAGGGAAGATGAAAGCATTTATCGCACAGTTTATTTCTCTATAATAATATGTTAGCTTTAATTCCACCTAAAGTTTTTCGGTATTGGCTTTGGTACCCACTCGGATCTCTATGATCAATTTATATACGTCTCGTATTGTCGTCGTCACGAAGCTACATTCATTAGCGCAACGAAACAGTGAACCAAACAATCGCGCCGGGATGTATAAGGCCACCAATCTCGCAATTCACCGTACGGGTCTCCCCGTTGAGAACAAAGAGCGCCTGGTTGGAGGGGCTTACCATATATCGACCAAATATACCGCTTTGTATTATCGGTCTGTTCGGATTACCCCATTTGGTGAGATGTGGTGGTGTTGCCTTCCCCACGCCTGTTATCATTTCCACTTTTCCTGGAAAGACAAAGTTAGTTAGTTAGTTTGCTTTACATTTGAGACGATCATCCTGCAAAGAGTTTAAGGAGAAGATATAATAAAATTAAAGAAAATTTCGTTTAAAATATACATATATGTAATGCATTTTTTGGAGTAAACGAGCGAAATTTTAATAAGAGAAATATGTTTTAGCAAATTTGAAATAGACATTTTAATCTGAAATTTAGATTATTTAGATGATGTTGGATATGATGTTAATTGCATGATTTCATTATTCGCGAAAAATAAAAGGAATTATTGGATTATGAAATATTTTTCTTATAATGAGAATAAAAAGGATTATCTCACCAGTAGTTAAATCTAGAAAGAGGATATCTTCTTTGTCTGTCGATGAAGCGTATATGTCGTAACTATGTGTCGTTTGCGATGGATAGAAGGCAATGTCGCTGATATTTAAGGTTGTTTTCACATCAAAAGCGAATTTTAGTCCGCTTGCTGGAAAAATGTATACAATATTATACATACATTATTCATGCAAATTGAACAATTTTTCGATCACCACATTGGAATTATTTTAAAATAAAAAAAATTGTTTTAAAATTTAATAAATCAAAAAATTCCGATAAATATATTATCTTTAATATTTCATTAGTGTATTTAAAAGTATCTAATTTTTTTATATTATTATAATAAAAATGCAAAAAAGTGAAGTATATTACGTAATATCTCCTGCACCACGAGAGTGACACCGGTGTTTTGTTTGTCGAGAGTAACCAGATATCTGGAATCGGGAGAAATTGCTGGTTTTCCCAGGATGCTCGGTTTATGAGCGAGAACGCTGTCAGTAAGGTAATCTAATAGTATTTGACCGGTAGGTCGACCAGTGATCGGCTCTTCGCACTCCAATATCACAAAACCGTCTGGAAATAGAATCTCATTGCGTTCAAGCTGAAGGAGCGAACAGGATCTGAATGAGGCGAAACAAAAATTAAAGAAATATCGATACAATGAGAAATATATATTTACAAAGATCGGAAAATTCCATGCTTGTTGGCACGCAGTTGTAGCTGGCCAAGTTCACGGTACGAGTATATCTCATGTTGACCAGATCGAGCTTGTACATCCCATGCTGATTCGTATGGGTCACGTAACCATATTTGAATACGTGTTTTATATCCTAAGAAATAAAAGTCTTTGTAATATAGATAATAATACATATTGATGAAAGGATTTATTTGCGATTTTAAAAGTCTGCATAGTTTCACAACATCAAAAAACGAACTCGTTGATAAACGTACTCGCTGCTGTGGAATATACAGGCCTCTCACGAGATCGAATTGCGCATCGATAGGCTCTGGTCGCATAGTGTGGTGTTTTTTTCGCTGGGCAGCTTCCTTGATTATTTGCACGGTCTTGATGCCAACGTCCATTTCGCTCCTCCAGTTTAACACCCAGACGTAGTCGAGGTTTCGTACATACCACAGATCTACCGGGTTTTTGTCCGTAGCCACTACCTGAAAAATTACATTGAAATTATTCGATGGTATTCTGAATGGTTTCAATGAAAGAGAAAACGTACATCGATTATCATCATCTGCACTTCGCTGATCACAAGCACGCGGTTCTTATCCGGTTGACTAACGTATACATATCTATCAGCAACGTTTATGGCACGTCCCCAAGAACAGGGAACATTTTTAGGCCCGCAGACGTATTCCTAAAAACGTGTAAAGCATAACGATGATAAAAATATCGAGAGAGTGGTATAAAAAGAAAAAGGGGTAATATATTGATTTCGTACCTGAGTACCAGGTATGATGTCCGTGGAATGAATCTCGTGCAACGCATGACACGTAGATGGCTCATATACTAAAATACCCCACTCGTGAAAAGATAAGAATCTGCGTTCTTCATCCACCGCAACTACATGCAAAATTTTCATATTAATTATAAAGAGACGAGACGATAAGGTAGTAAATAAAAATATGATAGTACCTAAAGAGAGAGAGTTACAATTAATTAATAATAAAAAATTATTAGCAAATATTGATGCGAATAGTACGCTTCTACTAAATTAAATAATATTTCCTTCATTAAATATACATATCTCTAATGGGTTAATGTTACAAGTTCTCATTAAAGCAAGAGTTTGCCCTTTACTTACTCGGTGTAGGCTGCTCCTGAATCACTAAACTGCTAATGTCTCTCGTTAGTCCCCCAGCGCTGGTCGCTTCACACATGTAAGCCCCGGTGTCGGCATAATCGACCTTCCTAATTAGCAATTTGGTACCGTTCCCGATCACTTCGTACTTGTCTGGCTGATCCTCGCTTAGGGGTTTGTCGTTCTTCAACCATCGTACACGCGGGAGAGGCTCACCTATCACGTGGCACTTCATCTTCGCCGTTCCCTTTGGCCGCTTGGATTGGAACTGTGGTGTCACCCTGACTTCGGGTACGGCTGAGGGAGATGTCACTCTCGATTATTTTTAACATCAATTATTTTCTTTAATTGATTGATAGCATTTTATTATACTTCAAGATTACATTTTCTCCAACTTTATAATAGATTTGATAATGACTGAAGAAAATATATTTTTATTATATATATATATCTGTAAAAATTATTTATTTTTTAATCATTTTTAATCATTTAGCTTAAACATTATTTCTCAACATTTTTGTTAAGAATAGATTGAATTTGAATTTGTTCAGCAATTTATAGATAAAGGGATAGTCCTGGTAAGTGTAGAATATCTCGGTACACATAATTATTATTATGATGTGTTATATAAATTGAACTTTGGTTTACATTTTGATAGTTAAAGTAAATTAATTGTACAATCTATGTATAAATGAAAAATTTTTCGTTTTCCAAGCAGAATCAAGACTTGTCTAATGCGCCTCCAAATATCTCCATCTAAAATTTATATTATTCCATTTAAAAGACTTACTGTATATGGTGAGCATGTGAGTTTGGACCACGTCCTGGTTCCTGAGAGCGTGGCACGTGTAATTACCAGCATGTTCCAACTGCACGTTTGTCAGATAGAGACTGCCATCGTTGAGAACGCGAATCTATAAAGTGTGCATTCGCGTTATCATAATTCTCTCGTAATATGCCTCTTTCATTTAGATATTTAGAATGAAAATTATATCAGTCCGTCAGACCATTAAATTAATTTTTTTAAATATTGCTCATTCAATAGCAATAAAAAAATCTTGATTTTAATTTCCATTTTGTAGGATATAATAAAATGTAAAAGAAAACAAATATTTTTTAACAAGATATTTTTCACTTTCTCTTTATTTATTTTGATAAAGAGAAAGTGATGAAGAAATATATATATATATATATTTTTTTTTTTACATGTTATTTCAATAGCAACGCGGTGTATCAACGGTGTTACAGAGCTAACGGTGATGGATATAGAGATCGAATTATTTCGTTCGAATAGAATACCTCCGGCTCACTGAGGGTTTCCACGTCTGTGCCATAACGGCGCCAGACCAAAGGCGGGGGTGGCGTTCCGGTGACGTCGCACTTAATCTCAACGTTGTCCCCGACTCGCGCGGATATGTGATTCACTTCGAGGGATTTATCCAACGATACCACCGATACACCTGCACAGATCAGAACCGCCCTCGCGTATTACGTGTACGTTATTATATTTCGGCCAAATTGAATGGACGATCGTTCGCTGTACAAACTTTGCATAATAATTCCTCCGCGGTCGTTTATATATGCGCGATGGCACTGTGCCGGTCACGTGTGCGGTCTGACAATTTACGGTGAAGCCATTGTCTATGGACAATGCGTTCTGCATTGAGACCATTATAACATAGATTACCATAAGAAAAGTGTCCGTAAATGGTTAATCACTGCGTTAAATTACACTAATCGCGGCGATAAGATTACAAAATTGTTTAACAGTGATGTAAAAGTAGAACAATTTTCGAAAATTTGCTTTAAATAAAAGAAATTTATTTAAAGGATTAAATTAATTTGAATACATTCTAATACTAACATAAATATTTGTCTTCGTCATCGACTTGCAAAAGATAAATCTCTCGTGATAAATGATAAATCGCACACAAATGATACTTACTGTAAAGCTTGCTGAAGGCAGTGTAGAACTCGTTAACGTTTAATCTGCCGTCACCATCGGTGTCATCGTAGCTGATCATGTGGCTCAAATTGCACCCCGCGGATAGCTCCTCCATGTTTTCTTCCTTAGCGATCTAAATGTTCGAGAGAGAGCTTATAAGCGCGTTATTCGCGGGACGGTCGCGCAATGGAAAAATCGTGTTACCGCTATTAAAATAACGACCATCAAATAAATCTCATCGCAAGTACTTCTCTTTCAGCTTGGTTAAACTCCGGAGAAAACGCTAATGAAGAAACACTATACGAAGAAAAGTATATTTAATGTTAAATCACCTGTAAGAGCTCCTCCCGCTCCAAATTACCATCATTGTTTCTGTCGTAGTGAGAAAACATGATGCTGACCAAGTATTCCTTGCTGTGATTATCCTCGGCCATTAATCTGGCGTGGCTATACAGGAGTAAGTTGTCCTACGGCGGACAAATAGAATAAAAAAGATAAAATAGTATATGATCTGATTACAATCTTTTTAATAAAATTGGTCAAAATGTGTTACTGGCGAGAAAAATCATAAAATATTCAAGGAAGATATTTTTAATCGACGCGGTGCTTTTATATATTTCATTTTTCTGCACTTGTACGCAAAGAAATCTCGATGCCAACTGAATTTATACACATATATGTAAGCTAAACGAACCATATAGTTTAAATCTATAAACTACAAGAATCTCGTCTTACCTTAAAAATATTTATAAATTATTTTAATTTACATATTTAAAAATTATCATTATATTCGATAAAAGAAAGGTTGATTAGATTGAATATTATTCGCGTATCATAGCTTAATAACAAATTCAAACCCGTTTCTGTTTCATATGCCCTAGTAACTTCTTTATTGAAGCTATATCCGAATACAGCCAAGGAATATTAATGATAAATAAAGTTATCTATATTTGCAACTCAAAAAGATACCCTCGTTAAACTTTCCTGCGTCTTAAAACGGAAATTATTACATTGGGGAACAAAATCGATAACATACTTTCATAATCTCGTATTCCTGCGCCGAACACTCCTCGATAACGTGACCGTTCTTTCGTGGGATCGATTTGCTCGCCGGATGATGCTTTACTTTATTCTTAGACTTAGCGTACTTGGCGATATTCTTGCCTTTGGAGGAGGCATGGTACGCGAAGAAATCCTTCCGTGCCTGTGCGCTGTAATTACCTAGAAATGATGGAACATTCCATCATAAACTTCGAGTTTCCATGTAACGACATTTCTTTTTTTTTTTTTCTTATCGTTACAACTCTTAACAAACTAGGCTGCTGCGCGGCTGCCATAAATTAATAGAAAACTTCCAAGTTATTATTGAGTTCATAATGAAACCAAAGTTTTGTGAACCCGCTAAAGATCGTGGTTTCTTTTCCTCGAGTAGAGTAAACAATGAATTAAAGTTAAAAGTATCGGCAAAAAGATTTGGATAATCTTTATTTGATATGTCTTATAAGATTTATAGGCTGTTGTACTTATAAATTTAATCTACTGATAGCTAATTAAAAAGTTATATTAGTAGATTACATTAAAAAATCGAATTTATTACATTATATATATTGTCTCACGTATAACATATAAAATTTCTGATAATAAGATTTCAATTGTATTAATAATTTACGAGTAAAACCTAAAAGTAGCTATAATGGTATATTAATTGATTTATTATTATTATATTCATTAAGGTTGGTTTCTGATAACTCTTTGTTAAGTAATTAAGTAAAGTCAAATCCAATCATTAATTAAGTTAAATAGATAGATAATTAAAATTAAATATAGATAGAGTTCAGTGTACGCCGCGGGGTCGATAAACTCCGGCGCGTTCTTCCATTTTACTAGAATCTAAAATACAAGAATTGATTTCAAGCCGATAAGAAATCTCGTTTTACCTCTCAGAATTACCATCGCTATTAATATTAATCGGAAATTTAAAAAGATACAAATTTTTATATCCGATAAAAGACAATTGGGTGTTCAAAATGACCAGTGGTTCTTGGTGGTTCTTTAATGCCGAGGTCAGAAAGCATAGGTATACGAGAACGGAGCAAATTCTTTTCCTGTCCGAGTCTGCTTACATTCACCAAGTTCTCTCTCGTCGGAGTTAAAATCGGAAATACTCAACAATGTACGGTATAAATGCCATTGTCCTCCGCTTTCAGAGAGATATTTCCTTCATGCATACCGCAACTTTTCTGCGCTATGTATATATAAGATAGAGACGTATTGTCCAGCACGTGCTCACCATTGCCGAGGCATCTGGAGAGCCTTCGCGTGGTCAACGGCGTGCCGGCGTTGCAGGCCGCGCGGTGCATCTCGCAGTGATTGACGTATACCCTGCCATTGCTCGCACAGACCGGTCGATGCCTCCGCGCGCATCTACGAACGCAGACGCACGCGGCGACGATCTCCTCGCCGCCGTCCGCGGAGACCTGGCACTCTTTTCCCGCGCCGCAATACTTCACCAGGCATGGATCGTCGTCTGAAAGAGGGAAAAATATTCGCGTCTTTTCGCGGTAACGCCGCCCTCCCTCGCCGCGAGATACTCATCCCCGCCGAAGATATGTCGCATATATCGGGATCGCAACCCCCGGATATACGGTCGGCGCGGCGCGCAAATGTTTCCCGTCAGCCGTATGTTACAAACATGCGCGATTGATGACGGGATCTTATATATGTACGAAAGCGGAATACCTCGCGCCGCGAATATACGCGTCCATTCACGACAAAATTGCCGATCATCCTCAGTAATGCGACCGTTCTATCTTGTTGCAATAAATCACTCCGCGCGACCGCAACCCCGTTAGATCGCAACCTTAGAATACTGCCAAATCATTTCGGGATTCGGAATATTTCTCCCGCTTTTCCAATATTCTCTTTTCGCTTCACGTTATGATTTGCGACGGTTTTAGCAGAGTCAATAAAATGGGCATATTAAACAGCGAGCGATTTCAAAATAAAGTTTTGCAAGAAAATTGTATTTCTGTTCTGAAAAGAAAGGTACTGCAAAAGTGCAAACGATACGTTATATAAAAGTTCTTCCGCCACGTTTCGATCGTATTGCTATATCATGCTACTCTTCTTTTATTCGCGTTGCGAGTTGCGTTGCGATGCGAGCGTTTCTCCACAATTTCGTAGCTATGTGCGCGTTTTTTTACGTCATTGCGATCTTGCTGATTGCAGGATTGGTGCTTTACGCAATTTTGGCGGCGTACGGGCTGGTTTAACGACGACACACGAGGTAAACGTGTACGTACGCGATTTCGGCGAATTGTGACCGGAGAGATAACACACAGTTTAATTAAACTTCCCGAACGGTGCACACCCGACGTACGAATTACTAATTGACATTTATGCAGACGGGGGATTTAACGGTTACGCACTCTTGTAGACGTGCCGGTTCTCCGAGCTTGCGGATCCGTCATCCGTCGAGGTTGGCGTAGTGGATGGAGGATTCCCGGTATCCGGTGACACGCCATTGTTGTCCACCGTAAAATAACGATGTCTCGAGCGCTGGAAATATAACGAATGTCCACCCATCAGAGATATTACGTCGAGTAAGTCGCGTAATGTATAAAAGATTTCGTTAGAATCACATAGCGACGAGATAACTTTTTTAAAGACGTAGGTAATCTCGTGGAACTGGGAAGCCGAGGAATCTCGAGTCGAGATTGTCTTTGGCGAGTCGCGCTACATTCTTTATGGCCCGTGAAGAGTTCAAAATATTCAAAGCATCTCGTGAATTATTCGTCCTCGACGATTCGGTTCGCTTCAAGTCGCCGGAAGTCGACCCCCAGCCCCTACGGCCCCATGCGCGAGGAAACGAGCGGGCGATTACGCGGCCTCGCCGCGCCGCGCCGGTTTCCGAATCGAGTCACGGTCGGAGTTATGCTCTTCGACCCGCCGAGTGCACTGACGGCCGATTTCCCTCAGGTAAATACAGCGCAATGTCAATGAACACAGATAAATGTACACAGATACCGGGGAATGCGGATTACGGATCACTATCGGGTGATGAGAGTTACGCGAGAAGTCCGTTCCTTGGAGCGAAGCCAAGGAAGATCTGCCGTAAGGAGGGTACTCCTCAGTCCTCGTCTAACGGTCATCAGCTTTCAGATGAAGGTTTATACGAGTAATAATGTTCGCGAGCGAGAGAAAGAGAGGGAATAAACGGCGAGAGAGAGAGAGAGAGGATACAGCGAAGACGTGAGGGATTTGTATAATCGGGCGATAAGTTGTGTCGCGACTTGGAATTGAAACGAGCGCTGGAAAGCTTTCCGGAGGAAGCCTAATTTCAGTCATTAATCTTCCGTCCGAAGATCTCGTTTATTTGTGAATTTATCTCAGATGTGATGTTTGAACGTAGCATTAATTATTCATTTTTTGAGAGATTTGCCTCGTTCGCTGCACCTTCAGTTAAAGAGAAGGTTATCAAAAATCGATTATAAGGAAGGCAAGAAAATTAATTAAAACTAATTGCAGCAATTATGTCCAATTTAAGTTTGAAGACTTGGACGCGAAAAAGTCTTATTAATCATTCGATTGCTGAATTGCTTTCTGATTTAAGAATCGCTCAATTCCTCAATCTTTTTATCAAGACTAGCTTAATTAAGATAATTTTAAAATGATCCTTATTTTTAAAAAATCTGTTTTAGAGCAATAAATATATCATATATTACAATACACAAGATAAATATCTTATAATTTTATTTTAGAAATCATTTCGTTTAGTAAATATAACAATAAAGCAACGAAATAATTTTGCGGTTTGATGAAGATATCCATAATATTAATGTCAATAAATGTGTACAGTGCTTACCTTGTAACGAAGTGTATCAGAACCGAACGCAGGAGCAATATAGGTCGAGACGATCGAAAGCAACAGGAGATAGAAAGTTACGAGGCAGGGCTTTAGTCGCATCTGAAAAATATATCAAAAATTATATCAGATCGCTGTCAGGTTCATTCTTTCATATTGTTTGCTTTATTGTTATGGTTTCTCGGAGCAAATAACGAAAAGATATTCTATGTGAACGTAAATTGATAAGGATACGAAAGATAATTGAATACGATATGGATTATTGAGCCACATCAATCGTTCCTTTTCGACGAAAGACAGAGATAACATCCATTTCGATTGATTAACAAGAAAAATTGCACATGTAAATATAATAATTAATCTTGCATATTTATTGGTGCTAAATGATGCTGTAGTTATTATATATAAATTAAATGTTAAACAAATTCATATGTAAATAATGTTAGTAAATTAGATTTTTTTAGTCTCTATTAAAAAAATGTTAGATTTACTATAGATTTTCTATGCAAATATATGTAAGTATGTATGTACCTTTCCATCAAATTTGAATTTCAGATTAATATATTTAAAAAATTATAAAACAAAAGAAAAGTACAAAGTGTTGTTTTGTTTGCGTACATACAACCAAATATTTTTGTTTTTTTATATTATAGACGGGGCAAATTTAATACTGTGCCATAGTGGTACATTGTTCCGTCTGTCCGGAATCCAATCCCATTTAATACCACGAGGAAGTTTACTTTTTCCAATTATCTAACCGTTTGTAATTTATGTTCTTATAATCCACTGAGGCCATCAGCTCTTCCGATATATATATGTCGCGAAAAGAAAGAGGGAGAGGAGAGAAATCACTGCGATTCTGTATGCCTGGAAATTTACAGTGCTATATTCCGGAGACGTTTACACGGTAGAGGTTGGCCCATCTTAAATCTTCCGATTAACTTCGAGCGCGTGGCTGGTCTATATTTTATATACGCGGCACTAGGAAATTTATCATTAAGAATAGCACTTGTGTACGAATTGCAAGATATCGTATGCAAGCGCATACGATTTTTATCGATATATGCGAAAATACATTGATCGCGATGCAAAACGTGATTGGCATGACGTTGGAAAATACTACTGTAATATGCGGGAGATATTTTTCGTTATCATAAAAACATAAAATATCTTTAAAAAGACTTAGCCCTAAAAAAATCACAAAAATTTTAATGCTAACAAAAATTGTCGCATATTAATATGCTATTTTCATATGTTGGATTAGTTTTATGTCATAAAGCATTAAATGAATTATAATATATTTCTATACAATGATATTTTTTAATGAGAAACAGGATGAGGAGGCGGAGAATGTTTTATCACTTGCTCGCAGAGATCCAGTGGTTCTCTTAAGAAAAATACATGATAATTTTAAATAATCACGTATAAACATGTATCAGATTTATAATATTTAAAATATTTTTCTCTTTCTTTATCGAAAACCGTTAATAAAAGAAAAAGAAATGAAGAAGGAAACATATAGATTTACATTTTTTTCTAGTAGTCAATTTATTCTAATTTTTAATGACTTTATCAAATCTTGTAGCATTTAATTAATTCCCTTATTAAGAATATTGTCTTTGTCAAAAAATATTCGCCAGGAAATCATTCTTCTCGTTCCAAGTGTTTGATTTAGTTTGATTTTACAAACAGATGTAAAGCTTCTAAGGCCATCGTTTGCGAACCACTGCTGTCGGTCCTTGAACGATTGCTGATGATAGAACACTGCAGTCTTTTTGGATGGGTCATTTAGCCTGCTTTGGTATGTCGAGCAGATGGATTGGGACGTAGGGACGTATAATACAAACAGGCCTCAGTTCTTCTTTGATCCCGGCTTGGTACGCATGGGTTTCTTCGTGCAGTTCAAGAACGAACACACTAGCCAGATAAATCAGAAATCTAAAGTGGTCCTTCGATTTTCTTTCAGATTCTGAGATTTTGTGAATATTGTGTAATTCTTCAAACAAGGTATTAACATCCTTACATAATAACTCTTTTAATATATATATTTTATTGTTTATCATGCTGTCATAAGACCTATAATATTATGGTATAATTTTAATCATTATTCTCTTTCTCTCTCTCATATCATTTTTATTATCATCAAATAGTTTTGACATTTTTCTCTCATCATATTAAAAATAAACGTCTATTTTTTCGATAATCAATGATTGCTTGAAGAAGCATGTAACATCAATTTTAAAACGGTGTTGAATGTAATTTGCCTTGAAGTAATTCGTATACTTCCTGTTATTATTAATTATAAATTCTTCTCATTATTAAATGCAAATAGTTCCCAACACTTCTTCGTCTTCATCAAAGGGAATCTCTATTTCGCCAGAGAGACTCTCCAAACTTGACGATTGTTCAGCCGCAGATTTCTCGGTGGAGTACTTTGTAAGGCTAATCTTCGAAGAGCGACGAATTTACGAGAAGAATGATGGTGTATTTCTTACTCGTCGGTTGCATCGCGCTGCTTGGCGTTCACGAGGAGTCGTTTGTCTCGGCTGCACCATCGAGTGGATACGGCTCCCTCGAACAGACAACCTCCGCGAATCTGAACGAGGGCGCACAGGACGCGGCCGCGAGCATCAATAATCCGGAATCCGGCTGCCCGTGCTTGACATCGGTCAATAGCTCGACGATCCCCGGACAATCGGACTGGATGACGCAACAGAACCGGCAGCATCTCGAGCAGTTCTACTCTCAGAACGTGATGTTGCACGGCATGATGTGCTCGTGCAATGTGGCCATGCGCGGCGCTCCGATGAGAGACGATTATCGTTACACAGTAGGCATCGGCGCGCACAAGTTGCACACGAGGGCCGCCACGTGGAACGACGCGAGGAAGTTCTGTAACGAGGAGGGTGGCCACCTCGCCATCGTTAATTCTATTGCCGAGGAGCACGTGAGTCACTAATTCTATCGCTGGGTATTATTGTGATTATGTAATACACAACAATTCATCCTTACGATTTTAATTTTCTTCGAACAAATATATTTAGGAAAATGTCACAATGAATAATTATTATAAAGGCATAATTATATCAGGCTAATTAATGTTAGGCGCCGTGTAATCTGTCTCGATCTTCCTTCAGATACTGTTGGATATATTTAATCGCTCCGGACCGATCAAGGGTGCGGTATATCCGAACGAGGCCTTCTTAGGTATACACGACCTTTATACGGAAGGCGAATGGGTCACTGTGTTGGGCGATTCGTTGGCGAAAACCGGTTATACCAGGTGGAGCGATAAGTGGGGCGGGCAACCCGACAACGGAGGAGGCAAACAGCACTGTGGTGCCCTAATGAAAGAGGGTGGCATGGACGACGTCGCGTGCGACGTCCCATTTCCATTCCTCTGTGAACTTCCGCTGATGCGAGTTTTACAATGAGGAAAAAGCGGCGCCTGTAAAAATTAAGCATCGCGTAAGGTTTATGTGCTCTTAATATGCAACATCTTTGTGCTCGCGTAACAGTGACGGCATTCTGCAATCATCATCCATGTGTAAAAAGCATTCTTATCGAGAATATATACAAAGCTACCTTCTTTTTGTAACATATAAATCTCGCCGTTCTCTCTGTCATTTTCTACGATAGGTCACCCATCAATAAAATGTCCTGGCTTACGTAAATATATCTTGTAGGAATATATCTTTCTGGTTTTCCTAGATTTATAAAAAAAAGTGATCTTTTTTTTCATATATATGTGTGGCCTTTACACTGATACAAGTACAAAAAAACAGACGGACTTGTTGATTACTTGGTCGTGTTATCAATGTTAAAATTAGCGATTCTAATTAGTTGTTTGTTTCTAGACAGTACACTTGTATTTCTGAAGTTTAGACATTGCAAGTTTCCGCGTTGTGATACAACGGTACCATTATGAGTTGAGTTATGTTGCACGAGTTTACAGTAGGGTGAGAATTTTGAGTTACAGTACTACCGCAACAATTCGTAAATAATATTTAAAAATCAACATGTCAGTTTGTTGTTCTTTTTGTTAAATCGGATCGAATGTTTTTGTCCGAATCTCGTTTTTTACGAGAGCTTCAACCTCGCATGTTGCAGTCAAAGTATAACTTACGAACCTCCACGATTTATGTTTATAGGAAATATAGCGTGCGCGCGCGCGCGGAGTACGTTTCGGAGAATAAAGAATTTATAGAAGCATCGATAGAGAGCAATGCAAGCCACGATGTAAGTTGGTATTTACGGTGCAGCGGTATAATTTGTGGTTTTTGATTTTGCTGAATCCTCACTAAATAGCGTCTGAAATTGAGAAGCGCGCGGAGAGAATGAAGACGGAGCTAATTCCATAATATTATGTCTGTGCTGAAAATTACAGTTACAGAGAAACCAGACGTCGAATAATATATGTATAGTGAATGATAATTACTATCTCCCTATTAAATACACTCTATTAAGATATTATATGTATGTGAGTAATTATATGCTGAAATTATTATAGATATGCGTATGTGTTATTATCCGTTGTATATTATATATTTTGTATGTCTTTATAGTGTCCCATTTAATTGTCTGGGAATTGCCACGTAAATCGACATTCCTTATTCCTTAATTTTATATGTTAAGATAATTTTTTATAAAATTTTGTACAGATATAAAATAAAAGGTATACATTAAATAAAGCACGTCTAACTCTTTTGTACATTATATCTTAATTTTGAGAATTCAAACAAAAATGACATTTTATTATTTTATTTTTATTATTTTATTCATAAATAATTTTTATAAATTTATAAAAAGTAGTGTTTAAGCATTACATAATTATAATTATACTTTTTGGCCATTTCTAAAGACAGTCCATTTCATAAAAAATGGAATTCCCTCATTAAATAAAGGTTAATTAAGATTAAGCCGGTAACTTTATTTCTTTTTCATTTATTATTTTTCTTTTCTATTTTCCAAAAATGTGGATATGCTGTGTATTAATTTTTTATAATACCTTTTTAGAAGAGGAAAAGAGTTGCAACTGAAGATTGCAACTAAAAAACATTTTTAAAATATATCCTACTGTATTATCTTTTTTCAAAGAATCGCGTTTGATGTTCTAAATTATTAAAAGTACTGCTAATAATCTTTTTATGTCAAGAGAAAATTTGTATATAAAATGTGAAATATTTTAAAATAATATTTTTGCAAAATACATAAAATAGCCAGAGGCAGATCTTTATAGATATAATATTGAATACAGAACATTACATACTAAAAAGTCAGCGATATAGAATGTGAAATCTTTTGATAGAGTATATAAACATTACGAAAACTTTTCTTTGATCTGTACAAGAAGAAAGAATCGTTTAGCCATTCTGTGGCTGGACAATCTGGCATTTCGGTCTACAATATTACGACATTGCGTTACAGTTTGGCTGATTTGGCAACTACAAATGTATAAGTCTGTTTCCATTCTTTTGTGAGTTACTAATGATGCAAAGTTTCGCAGTGAAACGTCGGTTTAATGAATCTCAACAGGATTTGCCTTTCTTCCGCTAAATCGAATTTCTTGCTACATGAGAGTTCGCAGGGAAAGGGCAAGTAACTTTTGAACAACTTTTTTCAGCGTTACATAATATGCTTTATGCGTCACTATCGCATTATAACGCTAATAGTAAATTCTTTGAAATTAATATCAAATGGATTTTTTCCTTAAAGAACGAATGAATATATGCGTTATATTGACAAATTTTGTAATAATTAAATAAATAATATCTAAGTGTCCAAATATAAGTGACCGCATATTCTTGAATTTATTTCAAATAAGTTTAACAAAAATAAATATTATAAATTAAATAAACTTAATGTAGTATTAAAGTTTGAAATTTAATTGTAAAGTTATGGTAAATGAGACTTTTCGTAAAAATTTCTCATTGCATATGTAAAATTGTTTGTCGTGCTATTTGACAATTTATAAGTTTTATATTAGTCATGACGTTTATACATTTTATTCTTATCCTTCTGTATGAGTGAGCAGATTGAGTTTTTAATTCCGAGCAAATGCAGGGATACGTTTTAATATTGAATATCGATGAGCATTCGAGATTCGAGATATGCATGCAAAACAAGCGTCAACTTCTGCTGGTTTTCAGACGCGTATGGCGTTCAAACCTACAAATTATATAGTCGTAGAAAACATGACATAACGCCGAAAAATGAATCGTAACTGGTATATTACTAACAAAAATCATCGTAAAATTAACGCTCACGACGATGGAATAACATTGTGATATGTATACACGAACTCATGAGCAATGTCATCGCTCATTCTTTCACATGACTCGCACTTAATGATGTTAGAGGTTGCCGTGGAAAACGTAAGCGAATACTTTTTGTGTATCAATGTAATTTCGATATATGATTTATATTATATTGTACATATAGAAATATTTGTAAAAAGCGTCAATAGAAATTCTGGGATGCAATAGATACTTTTCCGCGGATATTTTTCAGGACTAGAGGGGGCCTATTCTGTAAACGTTAACGACATCATTACGTGCTTTGCGCAACATTTCTGTGGTATATTATATCTGCGCAAAGCACGTAACGATGTCGTTTTAACCGTTTACAGAATAGGCCTCTTTTAGTCTAAGAGCTAAGGCCATTTCTATAATTTTAATTCAGTACAAAATATATTAATGCCTTTTGATTACCATTAGCAATAGTCGAATAAATTTTGCTAAGTTATCAGAGTATTAATTATCTGATTGCGTGTAACAGTTGTTTGTCCCTTGGACCACGGCTCTTGACAAAGTCATCCTGAAGAAAACTATCGTCACGTTTCGCATGCTGGATAAGGATTGGATATCGCTGTCACCGAACCGGCGCGATTATCGTCCTTATCAAGGCTCCAACTACGAGAACGAGAAATTTTACGGTGGCAGGTCCATCGTCTTTTCCGTGCCGACAGATTTCTTCGAGAAAGAAGCGAGCGGCGTCGATGTTCAGCTATATGTTCGGAAACAAGTGTGCAAGTATTTTGAAATGGTCTCGCGCCAGAGAATCGGCTTCGCCGCTGTGCCAGTTGATAATCTGCTAAACAGCATTGCCAAACAAATCCGCGAGCGGAACGAATTAGCCGAACACTTGTCGGACTTCTATAAACGGCAGATTATTTCGAGGTGATAACCCCGGAAACCGAATTATTGATTATTGACGTTGGGCGGGAATTTTTCTCGTCGAAAACTATTTCCACTCTCACTGTCTGATTGCGTTTGTCTTAAGATATTCGTTGAAAATTGATTATCGAGAAAGAGCTAATGTTACAGAAATGTTACCTCATTATTACTTTTGCAAGTAATGTTATAAAATATATGATTGTTATATTTAGTGTTAGGCGATGTTTTGAAAAAAGAAATGTCTCGACGCAATTGGCCGAGAAATCCGTAGAAAAGTGTACTTCCTTTTTGAAGTATTTTACTTTTCCTTTCAATGGAAGTATGCTTAGTGAGGGACGTCCTGTATAATCCTAGGGGGCTTAATAATACGGTGAATATGTCATTTAAGGTCTATGATGGGAACATACACTTTGTTGGACGAGAACTTCCGGACTACCGCCGCCACGATTTCGCTCTACATTCGGATCAGTTATCTCGGCAAGTGTCTCGTAACAGAGATCACGCAAGTCAAAAGTATACGCGGAGCGTTTTACACTCGTGGGGACTCGGATGAGAAACAACCGTATTTCTCTCGGCAGCTAACATCGAAGGAGCTTCAAAGCGGTTGCTGGGTCGACGGTGGTTTGCCTCATGTTCCTCACGGTCGTTTAATATGTCGCTGTGAGGAGCTCGTTAAAAAGGAGGCCGCGGATTTAGCCAGTAATTGATTCAATCGCTTTAGACAAGAATGCTGTTAGAAGAGCTTTTTATGTTTCGGAAAATACGAGAAAATATCTTGCTTAATTTAAAAATAAAGCTCCCTTCTTATAAATGAATAAAAAAATCTCCCTTAAATGAAGCGCTATTTTAATGTTATCTCAAATAGAGCACTTTTACAAAATGCATGTTTATATAAAACAGACCCAGTAATAGCCTGTTTTTGGGTATAAGCTCCTTTAAAACGAGCGATTCATTATTCTTGTGAGGTCAACAAAGCTATTATACGTTTTATAAAAATCTAGATAAGTATAGATTCTATCCAAGAATAAACAACGTGATTGCAAACGAGTTCATGGATCGATACGTAACTGTTCGCAGTGACAAGAGAAGCTGTTGTCGCTACGATTGCCATGACGACAGCTGTTGCAGATGTCACTCCTACAATCCCAATGAGACCAACTACTGTGGACGCAGTTGCAGATACTGATCTGCAGATTTCCGTTACAGAAGTTGCTGTGGATACCGCCGTGATTAAAAGAAAAAAAGCACTTGTTAATAAAGTTGCGGATTCTGCTGCGATCTCTGTTCCGAAAATTGTTGCGGATGCTGTCGCGATTAAAGGAGAAAAAGCACTTGCTGATGCAATTGCAGACTCTACTGTGATCTCCGTTCCAAAAGTTGTTGCGGATGCTGCCGCGATTAAAACAGAAAAAGCACCTGCTGATGTTGTTGCAGAGTCTGCTGCGAATACCGTTGCAAAAATTGATACGGTGAATACGGATGCCGCTGCAATAAAAAGAAGAAAAATATTTGCTATTGCAAACGCAACCGTAGATTCTACCGCGATCCCCATTGCTGCGGGTACTGTTGAAATTAAGCGAGGAAAAGCGCCTGCCAATGCAGTTGCAAACTCTGCTGCAATTCCCGTTGGAAAAGTTGCAGAGGATGTTGCTGTAGCTAAAGAAAATGAACTTGATAGTGAAGCTGTAGACTTTACTGCAATCTCTGTTGCGAAAATTGCTGCCATAATTGATACAAGAAACGCACCTGCTGATTATGGAGCATTAGGCGACAGAACAGATGCAGGCGCAGATGTGGATGCGCTTGCAAATGCACATGAGAGAACTACGATTCCAATAATGGCAACCGATAATGAAGTAATTAATGATGAGCGAGCCAGCATTCGTAGAAAGGATCTTATCGATTCTCTAATTAAAGGTAAATATAATTTGAAAAATTATACTGTTTCGAAAATCTTTATCTTATCTATATCCTTTTTTCTTAAAATTCTGTATAAATATCTCTAAAAAAAGAATGAGATGTTTACGTAATTTTATCTATTAAATCGTGATATTGTTAAATATAATGTACATACATAAGAAAAATATGGGATTTCTTTTCCCTAGATGTCAAGGCAGATGTTGCTGCAACAGCGAAAACGAAAGGATACGCGATAAAGGACAATGGAGAGAGGGCTTTCAAGAAAACGTTCTCCACGTCAAGCAAATCGAAGCGCGGAAGAAACACGGCGACAATCGGTATCACAGAAAGAGGGAGGAGAATTCTTCCTCCTCCGTCGCCTCCTTTTCCGCGTCTGCAAACGTATCCTTTGTGCTGTCAATTGCAACCACATCTAACTTGTTTCACCGATTGCTTCGACGTTTCACCCTGTTATTGTTATTGGACAGCCTGTCCTCTTCAATTCTTTTACAGTGCATAAACAAGTTCACAAACACTACGAAGCCTCGTCATTTACGGCAACAAGTTAATAGCTAGTACTGGTTAGATAGTTGGCAAAATAAATATAATTCGACTGAATAAAATTTATTGAATAAAATTATACAGCGCAGTGAAGCAAGAAAAAGTGAGAATCTCATGTCACAAATATGATGCTTCATGTATCAAACTGGGAAAGTCTTCCGTTTAATTATGCTTGAAAGGAAAGTGCTTTACGATCTCTCTTTTCTCATAAGTAAACGGAAACTGCTCTACCGCTCACAATCATATCCATCCTGCATTATATCAGTAATAGATACGCAAATATGTAAAATATAATTGTGTGTATATATATATATATATATATATATAAAACAAAGCGGGTGATAAAAAATATCGTTTTACAAAAGACTATTAAAGTGTTAGTGTGAAAATGTAACTAATTAAAATTTTTTGGAGTCCTTGAAAATATGAAGTACAACATTACCATTGTAGAGAAACAGTTCAAATATTTAAAACCGAATATTTTATGTCGGTTAATATTCTTTTACACAACAAAGGATTAATGAATTCATCATAATGTATTGATGAGATCTCTTAACAACTTCAAAAATCGCTTAGAAATTATATGATAATTTGAGAATAGAATTTTGAATAACCAAATTTTTTTCACAGGCAGTGAAATGAAATTCCATCATTAATATAATCTCGGAATAATACAAGTTTTTCCATAAATTTGCATTTTACTGTACGGAGTACGTAACAGTATGTTGTGTTATTATGTAATGTCAACACGACATGTTGACATCATCAACGTATCGGCGCTATAAATAACAGGACATTTATAAAAATTAAGAGAGAATCTGAAATCGAAGAATAGCGAAAGGGGTTCTGATTGATGGACAAGATGTGTATTTGACTGCAATGTAGAATACCGACCCGCGAATCAAGACGCGCGGCCGTTTCTCCTTCCACTATCGAATCCTAAGCGTTTCTTTAAATAAATTAGCGTCACGGGCCTCTTTATAAACGCGGTATGATATTCCGAAGATCGTATTGAACGTATTCGAAGAGAAGCAGTACAGTACCTGTCGTACATCCGAGCGGTCTTTTATTCTATCTATAGTTCGTGTTTGACACAATTTTGCAGGACATTTGCGTACCTTCGACCTAAGTAAGTATAACGTGTTGCGAAGTTATCATATATCGCATGAGTTTTTAATCGTGTTGTGAAATTGAGTTTCGAAGTATGCGACAAAATAATGTTTATCTTTCTGTTGGAAGTTATATATTAACATTGCAAAAGAACAAAAATAGACAAATTCGGAATTATCTAAAATCTGGAACCTTTGTAATTAGATGTTAATACGATGTGTAGTATTTTGGTGATATCAAATTCGTAGATATATCGTCTAATTCTTAAAAACGTATACCTTCTTTTTTAAGTAGTACCACCAAAAAGAGAAACTTCAAGAATTTTCTAGTTTCATATTGGTAAACATAAATATACGAAAGCTCATTTGTTTTAGTAATTTAATTAATAATTAATAATTTTTCACAACTCACATATGTAATATTTAAAGTTTCAAGCCGTATATCTGTTATAATTCAATTTAATTCGAATTTATTTGTTAAAAAACAAATTTATCAAACGCAAATATATATTAATTTTTTAATTTAAATATTGAATTTTTATTTTAAATATTTATTTCAGTTTCTAAAAACATTTACTTTTTTTGCGTGACTCTTTTAAATATTATTTTTTTTTAATATTATTTTTGTTTCTTACGATAACGAGAAGATTAAGAATATTAAATACTGTTTATTCCCTCTTAAGTAATTATTCTAACTTTATCTATTGGAGACAATATTGTTAACGAAAATATTATCGAATATCCCATATATCCACTCGTCTCGAGAAGAGAGGGTACATGATCAAGGTATAATGAGAACGCCCGGGCTTTATAGGATGACAGCGGTGCTTATCGATAGATTTCAACATCGACCTCGCTGCATAACAATATACGCGGATAGACATACTTTCTGAATAGGCTACTGGCATGATTTTCCTCTTACCAAGTTGTAACTTTGATGAAGTTCTCATGAAAGTTATCAAGATATATCGATTTGATACATCAAACATTTCCCGCGTCATGGCCTGAATAACGGAGGAACACTGATACATCGGAGGAGAGACACATTTATAATAACATTATCAATTGTTAAATAATCGATAATATATAGATACATGACATTGTGTAAACAATTTGTTTTGGACATGAAGCGTTTAATAGGTATATTAACAAGAGAGTGCACGTAATTGAATTATTTTGGCGCAATATTCGATTGTGTTACTAATAGAAATTTTGAATTTTCTGCCGATAAATATGAGTAACAAATACACGAGATAATATGAATCAACTAAACTGTTTTACATATCTACATATATAACTGTGCTTTATTGCGCAACGTACCTGCTCGTGCAAGTTACATATCGATTTCGTGTTTAGAAACAGATTACGTACAATCCCGATAAATATCACGGTATTAGATTGGCTTATTTGCCCCCAGAATATTATTTGCGAATATCCACGCTATTTCAACTTTACGGGCTCGTGCGCAATCGTACTTTCTTGCCCATTGTTTCGGCACTGAACGCGATTTAGCGTGTATTTTCGCCACGTTAAGCCCACGGTGGGATTACAAGAAAGGAGGGGTTGTAAACCGCGGGATCTGGAGCAGCGTAGGTGGCAGCGATAGTGGTGCATTATCCGCGTATACGCCGCGCGCCGGCAGAAATATCCCCCGGCTGGTTCATACATATTAACGTAAGTCATTGCACGAGTCCTTACACGAATTGCGCGGGGGAAACAAAACAGCCGGGGGATATTTCTGCCGCGACCGCGCTTTATGAGCGGGCTACGATCGGGAGTGTACGACCGCCATTACACCGTAGATTACGGTACCGCTGCCTGTTGGAACTAAACGACGCGCGAATATCGCCGATAAAGACTACGAAATCGACGGCGTCGAACGAAAAATGACGTAACCGCAGTTTTTGATAACATTTTGTCGCAAGCCGAACAAATCGTGTCACCTATTTTAAAGAAATAAAGTTTCACATATTAATTTGAGTATAATTCGAGACCTCTTATACTTACGAGGAAAATGCTCCGATATCGAAATAGCCCATTAGCTTAAATTTCAATTACCATTATCTATTAAATTTGAATGTTGCAACTGTCAGATCAATTTAGTTTCAGTAGAAAATTGTGGAAAGCAACCTTATTTTCCTTTTTTATTTCTGTAGTGAATCGATATCACCCGAGAATTACATCTCCTCACGACATAACGAATTCCTCTCGATACATAAAAAGTTTCATCAATGTTTATATATGTATATAACGAGAAAAATCTTGCCCATGGAATCTAATAATCATAATAAAACGTAGAGTATGTTAATAGCGGAAAAATACAATTAGTATTATTGATGTGGTACCAGAAGTTTTCTAATTGCTTTCACAGAACTGGTTTTGTCGTGAAGAAAGTTCTTTGTGCGACCGCCATTGAACTTGGTGACATTTATCATAATTTTTGTAATTATATTATGATTATCACATCGAGAGACTAAACCTTTACATATCAAATGCACGACTGAATTATCAGGATGTAATGATTTATTATATGGAAAGCGCATCACATCTTTCATCGCGATTTTATACGCTTTTACTTTCTTCATACCTCTACTTTCATCATATACTTTAATCGAGTTTGTATCAATTAGAAATTGAACACGTTGCCATAAAAAAATTCAAAATTGATTGTTTAATCGCGCGAATCAAAACACTTTGCGGTTTACTGTCATAAATTTCAAACATGCTTTCTAATGTGGAAGCAGGTAATATACTTAATGCTTGTAAATTTTAAGAATGTATTTGTAAGATGTTCATATAAAGCATGTTTCGTTATTTACAGTTATAGACTAATGTTAGATGTATGCAAACTGTGTAAACAGTTTTTTATACTTCAAGTTTTTATTACAAAACTTTTTTATTATACATGTATAAATATGTATGTGTTGATTCGTTGGGATCACAAGAGCATAGCATAATTTCATCGTAGCTTGTAGCGTTTTAAATATATAATACAATTCACGTTGATTTTCACAACAAACTCGGTCAAACGCGTGTCGGCGAAATGAATCGGTTGGCAATGCGTGACGCGTACTTAACTGCCTTGACCACGAACTTGCGTTCTCGCATTTCGCGCGGGAGTGCGGGAACGCTATTCACTTTGCCACGAGAGAGTCGCAGATGTTGAAATTATGCTCGTTATAAATGGTGTGCAACCACGCGTATCGCACATTGACGTACACGCGAGCTGGGAAACGCGTCTCGTTCGACGCTGCGATTACAGATGCTCGTCTAATGCAGATAATTACACGCGCCGGGACATCGAGGCAGTTATACTGTTAACAATGGGTGCTTGTTAACACGAGATCACTCTATAATGAGACCGATATGAAATCCTCGTCCGGATAATGCGCTCGCCATATAATTTTGTAAATAATATGTTATATGTAACGTAATTGATTCATTTATGATGTTTATATTATTTGACTTTTTAACGTTAAAACAAATTTGGATTTTTTAATACTTCGCGGCGAATGATGATGTATATATATTTTTATTATGACAGTTTGTTCTCTATTCAATTTCATATTATTATATTAATTATAAAAACGATTATAAAAATTTCTGATTTATTTTATAAATCAATATATTTCGTGACGTTAGAGATTGATATTTGTACCTACTCTTTTAAATTTACACAATTATTTTGTGAATTTATAAAAATATAATTCTTTTGCACTATACCGAGCTAATATTTTCATAAATTAATAGGTATATAAAGATTTAATAGAATAAAATAAAGATTTTTTGACACCTGAAAACAGACGACATAACTGTCGTTATAAATACATAAAATTATGATTTATCACACTCGTTTCTCTTGAAATAGTGCGATTCTCTTACGGTCTCTTGTCACCATATATTTATATAAGCTCGCACAAGATAGGTGATGGTAGGTAAACGAGATAGGATAAATTAAACAAATGTTGCTCCAAACATTTTCAGCAATGTATAGTTCAACGATAACCGAATACGAGAACAATAAAAATCGAAAATTAGTCCAGGCGATAACAAAAAATGGCAGAAATTTGATTCTCAATCAACCACCGAAGCACATGCCAGCGGAGCAGCCATTAATTTGGCAGAATATTATTGGCATCGCCGTTCTTCATGTTGCCATGATCTATTTATTTGCTACGCGATTTCGTGAAGCGAAATTTTGGACCTGGATATGGTGTATGTATTTATTAAAGTAATTTTTTATTATAATTTTGTTTATATACATATATAATAAGATTATTTCTTTACACACTTCAAATTTAATTCATAAATCGTTCATTTTAAATCGTTTATAAGTAAAAAATTATTTTAATATTTTAATATTTTCTTATAAAAATTTTCTCATCTCATCATCATTACATGTTAAACAATAAAAGAATAAATTTGATCTTATTTTTATTTTATTTTCTGCTTATTTCCAGGTATCTTACATCTATTTACGTGTGGTGTCGGCATAACAGCTGGTCTTCATCGTCTTTGGGCACATAGAAGCTATAGCGCTAAATTGCCACTCAGAATACTACTTGTTTCTTTATACTGTATGGCTGGCCAGGTAAGATTCTTAAATATTACAATCGTAATCCGGCCAGTTAACAGCTTCACATTAAAATTTATTATAATTTGCCACAAGTTGTTATTTTCAGACAGATTCACTTTTTTGCAATAGCAATTTGCAGTAGATCATCAGATGATTGTGAATGCGCATAGTAACACAATAACGTTTTATACATTTACACTTGTTGCCTATACTCTCGCTAATAAAATGCTTATGTAATATTTAACTCTGTGATTAATGTATTTATTTGCTGCATATGCCTACATTCACCGATTCAAGAATACTTCTATTATGATGTTAAAATCTTTTGAACCACAATACAGCAATGGTTGTTGGGTATATATAATTGTAGAAAATTTCAGATTTCTTAATTGATTTGGAATTTCGCGATTGCGGGTTTTTTTGAGGAATTAGTAGTCAAGTTTTTTCTCAGCGGGGATTTTAAAAGAAATTATTATACTTATAAATCTAATTATTAAGCTTGGAATTTTCCCTTTCTCGCAGATTTGTCCGTCTAAATGGCTTCGTATCCATCGAGTACATCACAGATATACGGATACGTGCGCGGATCCGCATAACTCTCACCGCGGCTTTTTCTTTTCGCACATTGGCTGGTTAATGATGAAGCATCATCCGGCGGTTAAGGAGTACGGTAAAAATGTGGATATGAGCGATATCGCTGCCGATCCTGTAATACGCTTTGTCGACAAGTGAGTCTAACAATTCAGCATGTTCAAAGTAATTTTTAACTGATCCGTAATGAAACGTTCACGTTCGAGAAATATATAATTAATTGCTGTTGCGTGATTAACTTGCAACGATCGATTATGATTGAGTGAATTTACTGGCATATGTCAGTTTCCATTACCATCAATCGTCGTAACAAAATAGAATTTTTTTAAATGTATCTCCAATGGAATTCGTATCAATTTCCATGTTTTTCAAGAAATAAACGATTATTCTTATTACGATTATTCTTATCACATGTTGTTTTCAATTCATTTAAATTTGACATAAAAAGTATCAAAAACCTTTTCTTTCCTAAAATAATAATAAAAGAAAAAAAACGCGAAATAAGAAAATGTAGTATGACAAAGTATTCTCTAATAATAATAATAATAATAATAATAATAATTTACGAACTGATTCCTCATTATATTCCGCTGAATGAATGCTCGAAATAAAAGGAAAAAGAAGCTTGAAGAGATGCTCACGAAGAACAAGATCTAGATAATATTACACGATTTGTATTCAAAGTGTGTGAAAAGCAAACGGAAATGGGGAATGGGGTTCGACAATTGTGAAAAAAGATCACGATGATTGAGTTGGATTGCTCGCGAAATCGCTTCGTAATTATCTGAAGTGTTTGAAATTGCGTGACGCGTTGTTCCCCGAGATGAGGGAGATTAAGTAGTAATCAATCAGTGTGAAATGTCTCATTAGGGAGTGGAATTGAATGCCAGTATTGCAATTTATTTTGATTTATGCACTTGGATCAAACGGCCATAAATAAAGGCGCCTCTACTGTAGAGGATCTACATAATTCGCAGTTCGCGAAACGCAAGCAAGATACACGCACAGTCTACATGTCAATATTGTCAATCAAACCTCTCTGTGTATAGAGGTTACATTGACATGTAGACTGTGCGTGTATCTTATCTTGCGTTTCGCAAACTGCGAATTATGTCGAGGCGCCTTATAAAGGATGCAAGATGCCGTTACGCTGTTATTGAACTTCGCATGTGTGTAACACTTATTAACGTTTTTTCATTGCAGGTATCATCCGCTGATTATGGTGCCACTGTGCTTTGTCCTGCCGGCTGTGATACCGGTTTACGCATGGAACGAATCCTGGGATATAAGTATAAGCAGCGTGATCGTCCGCTACGTATTGTCGTTGAATTTTACATTCTCTGTCAATAGTTTCGCTCACTTGTGGGGCAACCGACCGTACAACAGGTACCCGTCAATCTTTTAAAGGATCACGTTTACACGATTGTCATTAAAATTGGCCAACATAATGTTCGGATCGTGCTTCAGATATAAATAGGGAAAAATTTTAATTCAATATAAAAGATTACAGGTTTTGATTACAGTTTAATAAAGATTTAATCGGAATAATAAAGGAGATATTCTAATAAATAAGACCAATAAGACAATGGTTTTTTAACGATAACATCAATAATTGATATTGTTGTACAACTTTTAATAGATATTTCTATTAAATAGATGTATCAATCATATTTTTAATAAGTTAAGTTTTATTGTACTATCCATGATTCTCATATAATGTTTAACATTGTTGAAAATTATATTTACAATATTCCGAGGTTTCCATTCCATTTTAAAGAATATCCGTTTTTTCCTACTAAATTATTATCTATTATAAAAAATAGAAAAAAATTTTAGGAAAATCTCAATATTTTCTCAGGTTCCTACTATTGTAAATTATTTTTAAATAATGATGGGAAATTTATCAAAGTTTATTTCACATCTGTATAGATAGAAGCAGATAGAAGTTTTAAGGTGTTATTCCGCTTAAATAATCTGTTGCATGATATTCCGGCGAAAGTTCGTTCGTGTAATCGGCCCGGATCAAGCGAAACTTCCCTTTCTCTTTTTCTTGTTCTAGAACTCTTAAGTCAACAGAGAATCCTGTGGTGTCCTTCTTTGCCATTGGCGAGGGTTGGCACAATTACCATCATTGCTTCCCGTGGGACTACAAGGCTGCGGAGCTTGGCTTCTACCGTCTCAATTTGACTACCGCCTTTATAGATTTCATGGCTTGGTTGGGATGGGCGTATGATTTGAAGACACCAAACGCTAAGCTCGTCGATAGACTTTGCGCGAATGAAGGTGATGGTACGAGAGGCCGGATAAATATTCCCGAGATATCAGATGTTCAATAAAAAGAAAGAGAAGAAGTTAAAAAGAATGAGAAAGTGCATGCACTAAATTCGTACATGTCATTTTAACTTTATTTCTTCGTAGAGTAACAAAATGTAATTTTTAAATTTATTATAACAATGATCTAACCCGTTTTTGAAAAGATATATATAAGAAATATAAAAAAACCTATAAGATATAAATATAATTTTGATAATTATTTATTTTTTATTAGAACCAATATAATCGAGAATGTAATTGTATTTCGACATATTTTAAAATCTCTGTATTCCACGAGTTTAGAATGACAGTGTTACATGTGTTAAATACACATATGTAAGTAAATGCATTTTAATATGCCGTATTCGATAAAATGTTTTACATTTGTTCACACGCAAGTTATTTTGAATATATTGCTCAATGTAACGGATTCACCGGAATGCGGACTTTATTTTGAGACGTGTGTTATCTAACAATAGCGTTTCTTTGTAAGTAAGATATTTCATGCATCTATTTTATATAAAAGTTCAGAAAGCGTTATTATTATTATTACAGAGAGTTTGTGATGTACGCACACACACATACACGCTCGTGTGTATACATTAGTTTATTGGCCTTTAAAACAATGTTAAAAAAAATCGAGATAGAAGTATGTATAAATTTGAGAAAAGAAGATTAGCATTTTTTAATCATCTTAAAAAATGTTTGAAAAAATTAAATCTAAATTAATATGTTTAAGCTTTTAAAAAGGTAGTTTAAATTACTGTCGCCCTTATCCTTCCGATTGTTGATTGAGGTACACAATGGGAAAAGGGAGGCCGTCTTTTAAAAATTAGGTAGCATCCTACTTCCTTTTTGCTGATTCGAATATAAATAATTGTAATCTTTTTCCCCGACCGTTCCGGCGTTTCTTTTTTCCGAACTTGAATAAATAGAATAATGTTTACAGTCATATCTTATGCATGATCACTGTTTCTTCGAATTAAAAGAATATTATATGGAATATGGAGTGGAATACGCGTATAGGTACATTATCTTCACTGGATATTACTGCTTTTGATAGATGGATTATCCGCGAATTTTCGTGGATGATGTACATTGCTTAATTACGTTCGTTAAAATTATATTAATAATTTCTCATACGTGAAATGCATAACACGTATTATATGAATATATGTGAAATAAGCGGAAATATATTGATATTTTAGAGAACATTTTCATATGAAAAGCAATGTAGATATATAAAAGGCTGATTATATATGTTCTATTACACAATTAAATAAAATCATCAAATGATATGTAATAGCTTTTAATGATGTTATAGGATTCTAATTGTTAGCATATAAATATGTGTTACAACTTACAATATGCATATAATATCTAATATTAGATATTATTAATATTAATATAATAGATATTAATAAATTATTTAATTATATCTATTATATTATATTAATATTATTCGTTCACAACAGCAAATTTAAAAGTACTTGTAATTTATTTATTTTATAAAAAATTGGAGTAGAAATTGATATATTTCTATGTTTAAATTATGATAGTTTTAATATGCAACTTGTAGCAAAGTATTCATAAAGCACAACTAATTGAAAGTTAATTAATGCGTACAGCATAAATTATAACTTTATGTAATTCGTCGATCCTAGAATATTTTGCGTTTAATTTTAATATATTGGCTTAGGATCACACATGTATTATAATTATAAAATAGTAACCGTATCTTTAATTAGTAGAATTAATGGATAAATTTTTTTTACGCTGTTAATTAAAAAAATATTATTTCAGTTATATTAAAAAAATATAAATCCTATCAAAATTTAAAGGCTCTATTTTTATAACAAGTATCTAGATATTTAACATTCTTCGCCGTATCTTCTATAAGCCTCACGCAAATTTTTGCTCCGGTCCGATAGCGGAATTTTAATAAAGGCTTTGTCATATGATAGGTAGTATCGGGTGTATCACACCGGGTGGAGAGGAGCACGCGCCTCCGCCGACCTCTGCGGTCAACGATTTATATATACATAAACGTCCTACATACGCGAAGTCACGTTTCGCCGATAAAAAAAAAAAAAAAGAAAGGGAGATGCCAGAAAAGTGTTATCGATCCGGATAGCCTGACGTCGCGCCGTTTCACCCGGGGGTTAAATTTAGTATTTATCATCACGTATTCCGCGGAGTCTACAGGTAGCGCCTGCGCGACCCCGTCGCGCCGCGCCGTGTCGCGCGTCACGCACCCTTATGCGCGCATATATGCCTACCTACTATCTACTACCTCTATACATAGCCGGTGCGCGCGGCAGCGACGGAACATATTTACCTCTATGCGGGCGCATTACGAACATTCGTCTATTTTTGTCATAGCGACCTGTCGTGTATCGATCATTTTCTCTAATGTTTCTGTAAATGTGGCCGGGCCGGGGACCGTAACATTCCCGCGTTCCCCCGACGCGTCACGAGCGTCACCGTCGACAATCTAGGGCGAGAAAAAAGCCGCTGCCGTCGCGTGTTTTCACGCGACGGCGGCTGCACATGTGGGATACAAGTGAATCGCTACGATTTATCGCTAATTAAACCATTAGGTAGAACGTACTTGTAATTATATTCGATTCGCACGATGTATTTTATACATGCTTCCAGGAAAAATTACCAAGTAATGGGATAATTATGAAACATATTGCTGAAACACATGTTAAAGATGATATACTAACGTGTGTGCATGTTGTTTTAACGGTGATTGTTGTTGTTTTAATTGTTAAAGGTGATATTCGTATGGTTTAATTAATTTGTATACATTTTTCTTATTCAATAACAATGAAACATAACTCGTAAATATATGTTTTATATTATAACGTTATATATTAAAATATTCTATTTCTCTCTCTCTTTCTCTTTTTCGTTTTTAATTTCTTTTTTATGCTTAAAAATAATTTTGTAAATTACAAAGTAAAATAATTTAAAAGTAAGTTTTATTTATATGATTTCGGATAATACTTTCAGTTTTGCATAAATGTTTTACATCAAAATAAAATATTACAAGTTTCTTTCTGAGAAATAAGAGAGAAAAATAGTTGGTCAAAAATTCGAAAAGTATGCATTGCAAAAATAACAACGTTTATTTTTATACTGCAGGTATTTTCATGCCAAACTATATATAAAAGTAAAATTTCCTCGATGGTATAGCTACAAAGGAACATTCCGAACTCTGTGTACCGCGAATTTATAAGCATATTTTCTTAAAAAGAAAACAATTTAACTAAAAGGATTATTTGAGACACACATAAGATTGCTCAAATCGTTTAGGACACTAAACCTATTTAATGTTTCGTTAGATCTGAAATTAAAAGAATTAAAAACAATGGGATATGTGAGCGCTTGGACGCGAAGAGTCCAAGCGACTCGATTCACCCCGCGTTACTGACCTGACCAGTTTTAGTCCCGTCAGGATAATACCCTCGCCGCCACCACGGTAAACACACCACCCGCCACTTTCGTCCCACGACACTGTGCTGGATTACGTGCACGCAGCCTGGATTTTAGGGCCCACGCCGGCGGCGGTGATGCCGAAGCGCACCCCGAAGGGGTGCAAAAATACTCTGTCCTGGGCTGGAGAGTCGAGCGAGACCGTGACTTGGTACGTGACGCGGGAATGTGATTAAAAAAGCTGTGGCACACATACATAAATCAACGTGAGATTATCGAGGAATTGTATTTCGAACTTCACTGTGGCGTACGAGGGACGGAGCGGACGCGACGATAAATGAATATACCATACGGGCGGGGGAGAGGGGGTGAGACACGCGTATGTGTGTGAATGAATGGAAATCACTGGCGGATCGTGGAAGAGCAGAGAGCAGCAGAGAGCAGGCGATTGAACAAACAAACGAGCTACCGAATGCACAGGCCGGACGGACCGTATCGTAAACAGGGGGGGCAAATAGCCACGCGTTTTCCCCCTCAGGTGCGTGAGTGAACGCTGGCGTGCATGCGTATGGTACACCGTGTGTACGTGTGTGTGTGCGTGTGTGTGCGTATGTATGCGTAGGTATGTATAATATGCGTGCGGTCCGTGCCTGCGTGTGTCTATATGCACGTGTGCGGGTATAAAGGTGCAAGAGATCCTCTAACCGCGACGATGGTTTAGGGTGTACTGAACGCTGAACGTTACCCGGAGAGGGTTGGAAAACGGCGTAGTGTCTAATCCAACATTACCTAACTGTATAGCAACGGCGCCATGGAAACGGCACGTTTGCGCCTGCGTCGCCGTCGACATAGATCGACTTAAACTTTTTTGGCAATTCCGCCAGTTACTTCGAGAACTCGCAATAAAAGCCGCTATTAATTCTCTATAAGTGTCGCGTCCGAGGGGGGGGGGGAGAGAGAGGGGGATAACTTCGCAATTTGTCGCTCTCGGGGGAGCGTGATAGTATAGTGGTCGGTGAGCGTTGACCCGTGAGGAATCGCGCGCGCGCGCGCGAGGCGCGGGGGTGAAACGAGTATTGAAGCAGCTGTAATGTCGCCGCTGCGAGATCTTTAATTAATTCTCGTCGTTATCTGTTTAATTGGACATAATAGATCTTTTATTGCCGCAGCGACGCGCATCCTTTTCTCTGATAGATGGAGGAAGACGCGACGGAAGCAAGAGTGTTAAACCTAAACCGCGTCCCTTTTGTATTCTTGTCTCTTTTCCGACAGTACGCTATTCGCCTATCATTTGTTACAGGAAGATTCACATGTCTACTAAATATAAAATTTTTGACAGTAATCTCGACTAAAGTGACATCTCTCATCGATATTGCACCCTCGAGCGTCGACGAGGAAATTAGACTTTAGACTAACTTACTCAGTTTTATAACAGTTTTATGGACATGGACTATAAAATGTTATAATTTTTGCTTATAATATTTGATACGAAACAACTTGAAATTTAAATATATCTTTTCCATTGATAATAATCTATAAACTTTAAATGAAAAATGTATGAATGACAATAAAGACAGACTGATGAGAGATCATGTTTTATAACCAACTATATTAACAATGTAGTAATATCAAATTATATATACATATAAACGTTGCAATTATAATGGCAATGTTTAAATTATGGATAGCTGATAAACTGACAATGCGCTGCTGCTATTTTATCCTTTGAGCCAGTCCGTATCATGAACCACCGACGAGATAGTATTGATTTTCAAGATTTAATATGATTTTCTTCATCATTTAGAATAATATATGGACCGATACGTTAAGTTTTCAAATTATTATTCACAGGAGTGTGATTAATAATTTTGATTTTGATCTAAAAGGATGTAAATGTATAAATAAATAAAGATAAAGTAAGATTGTGAGAAAAGAGGAAAGTACTTTCGTACAAAAAAGTTAATTATTCTAAAGTGAAAGATATAAAAAAAAGAATGTATTTTTAAACGTTACTTGGACAGCAGTTCCATGGATCGATATTACGTTCTCGGGGTTAGAGACCTTATTCAGCTCGGGGTAAAGTCGAGAAGAACGCTGATATTACCGACTATATTTTTGCTCATTTGATATAAATTTGTGGATTTTTAATTCATAATTAATTTTACAATTTACAATTTGGTTGTTTTATAAAAACGATGTTTTTATGAAACATATTTACGGCATGGTGTTTTTCTATGTAAAAATTTTTGTAGTTTTCCATGACGATTTAACTTTTTGTTTTTTTAGAGTGTAACAAATTTCTTAAACTATGCAGATCATTGTTGATTCTCAATAATATCTGTTTAATATATCATCAGAGAATATGATAATTAAAAAAAATGTTCATGGAACATATATTGTAGAAAGCATTAGAAGTTTCCTTACTTTAGTTTGGACTTGGACATCATAAGCAGCCTTTTTCAATTCAAAATCACGTTGCGCTTTTGCAATCTCTGTATCATTTAGGAAACGTGCAGCCATTCTTTGTTCCTCGGCGATAGCTTCCCTAATTTGAGCGTCTCTGCGAGCTTCTGCTTCACCTATTCTAGCATCTCTCTTCACTTCTGCTGTACGTGCCATATCGCCCATACCGAGTGCTTGCAGATAACCCTATAAATAATATATTCTCATAAAATTATTGCACGACATGATAACATTTATGATAATACAATGAGTAACGAATGATTTTAGCATTTAAGTAAGCAATGTCTGAGCGACCCAAAAAGGCAACATATA